AACTGCTTTTCTTGAAATTACCAGCTGAACTTGCTATTGAAAGTAGTTAGATTATTTAAGAAATTGTGTGATCAATAAAATGTGGGGTGGGGAAGGAATGGAAGACAACTGTAGACACCAGAGATAGTGTGAGAAGAGGGTGGGAAAGGGCAGAGGGTCAGAAATAGGGGTAAAGAAAAATGGAGAACGGAGGAGAAGGGATTGTGGTGTGGCCATCCCCACTCGGGAATGATTACTCGCTTTCTGTCTCTCTTTCTCTCTCTGTCTTTCTGGTGAGCGCATGCGCTCTATAGCAAAAACCTCTCCAAAAGAAAAAAAAAAGAATTATTTTATTTCACTTTATTTATTTATTTACTATTTTTATTTTTAATTTGACCAGAGAGGGACAGAGAGAGAAAAAGAGAGAGAGAGAGAAAGTGAGAAAGCAAGCCATCAGGTCCAGGACTAAAACTGTTGGTAGGCTATGTGGGAGTCCAGCATCCCAACCACCATGCCACCTGCCAGCCTGTAAATCAAATTATTTGATGCCAGCTTTCCTTCTACTGCTATAAACAAGGAAGGCATTTTTAATTAATTCAGTTTTGAAAAGGGCTACTCCTACTAGCAAATGAGAAGAACATTCTATCAGTTGGAGGTTTCAGCATCCCCCAAGATCAGAAACAGAATTCCGTAAAGAGCAGGGTTGGGACTGTGGACAGAATATGAGGACATGCCGTTGCATTCCTGAGCCTCAGTGGACTGAATGGTCTAGTTGCCCAAGGCACTGGACTTTCCCGCCATTTTCTACATTAGCTTGACTGGACATAATTTAAACAGGAAAAGCATATACTTGTTCCAATATTTTTATTTATTTATTTGCCAGGGGTTACAATGTGCTTGCCAGAAAGAGACAGAGAAAGGGAGAAAGTACCTCTCAGTGGAGTGTGGTCACCCCACAATACCTTCTCCTCCATTTCTCCATTTTGTCAGGATTTTGGATGCATGCAGTGCACCCAACATCATTTGTTTGTTTGTTTTGTTTTGTTATAGGGCACGTGTACTTGCTGGAGAGAGGCAGAGAGAGAATGAAAGTGAGGATTCCAACCTGGAGGGTGATGGCCATGCCATAGTCCCTTCTCATCTTGGGACTTTGGGCATGCACATACATGCACATGGCATGTTTTCTAAGCAGCTGAATTTGTGACTTGAACTATGCAGTTGGCCATGTGGGCTCCAGCCACCTTAACCACCACACCACCTGGCTGCCCCTCTCCCTCCCATCATATTCTTCAAGTCACCAGGGCCTGGATTCAAGTAGCCAACCATGTGGGATCTAGCTCCCTTAACCACTAGACTACAGGCCAGCCCAAATAACTCAATTTTTAAAGATTCATTTTTATATATTTTGAATGTATTGGATTAAGTATATTAAGATGTGTTAGGAGGCCAGCAAGTGGTGTTGTGGTTAATGCAGTGGACTCCCACATGACCAACTGTGGTTTGAGTCCTGGACCTAGTAGCTTGCTTTCTCATTTTGGAGCCAGAAGGTGGCATGGTGGTTGAGGTGCTGGACTCACATGGCTTAACATGGTTCTAGTCTTAGATATGGTAGCTTGCTTTTTCACTCCCCACCCCCTTCTGGTAAGTGTGTGTGCCATGTCCTGTAAGAAATTAAATAATAATAATGATAAATAAAATTAAATTAATAATTCTTTTAAAAATTTATCTCTGGTGCTATTAAAAAAAGATGTATTGGGACTTTGGGAAAGTCATGACACATTTTTGCACTGAAAAACACAGAAAACTACATCATGACTTTCCTGATGATCCAGTATTTCACCTGTTTAATTTATTAAATTGTGTCTACTAGAGCATTAAAAATTGCATATGTAGGCTGCCCTTCCTATGGGCGTAGCTCTTTTATCTACCTATCCTGCCTGGGTTCTCCCCTTCTTCTCTGAGAAAGAATGAAACTGATCACCCATCTCCCCTCACAGGGCACCTGTACCTATGGAACAGTCTCCTATGCACACTTTCCTAAATAAATCTGCTTTCACACTCCTTCAAAAAATTTTTTGAGAGGTTTTTGCTATAAGCCATGTGCACTCACCAGAAAGACAGAGACAGAAAGCGAGAAATCATCCCCCCAGAGGGGATGGCCACGCCACCATCCCTTCTCCTATCCCTTCTCCTCCATTCTCCTCTTGGGATCTTGGGCATGCACGCATACACGCCCAGCGCGTTTAAGCCACCAAGTCTGGGACTTGAACCGCAGTCGACCACATGGGAATCCGGCAACATAGCCATTACGCCAACTGCTGGTCCCCCCCTTCAAAAAAATTAAAAAATTGTACTTGTAACTCACTTTTGTGGCTTTCACTCTACTTCTATTAGTGCAGCACTAGACACTTAGGGTAGTTTCCTGAATTACCTTTGTTTTGGGGCCCTCAGCGTTCCAATCAGGACAGGAATAATGGCGCACCCATCTTTAAGGCTCGCCATAGCTTTAACCGTATTTAAGGCCAGTATGTTAATACTGTGCTCCTCTCCAGTTTTCCATCAATCTTTTGATCATTAGGGAGGTTATGCAGAGGTGTCTTCTCTCTGTCCTCTCTGAGGGAGAGGGGCGGGGGGGGGAATTGGGGGGGTACACGATGGAAAGGTCATAAACACCAGCAGTAAGACCCACAGATGTCTCCCACATGGAGTGTGACAGTGGTTCCAGCGAGTCCTGATTCACTGACCTATGAAAGCTACCCTTTAAACTGTGGTCTGAAGCGGAGTCCCACTGTGCCCCGCCTGATCACCCAGCCGGATATCCGGAGCACAAGGGGTCTGGGGGGCGGGTCAGTCTGAGCCTGTGGCGACAGGAGTAGCCTCTGGAGGACCCAGCACTGTGAGCCCTGGAGAGCAGGAGGAGGAGCAAGAGGCAGAGAAGAAGGCGGCGACAAAAGAGGATGTGATGGCATCCGGGGCAGTGACACAGGAAGGTGTGATTCTGGACCGGTTCCCCAAAACCCGCCCCGGGAAACCCTAGTTCCGGCGAGGGTTCGCTTTGGCCTGGGTGAGTGCGCCGAGCTGCGCCGCGGACCGCGTAGCTCCGATCAGAATGATCCCTCAGGCCCCAAACCCGGGCTCTGCGCCAGCCAGGCTCCCGACCCCAAAAGCCAGTTTGTTTGAAAGGACATACATACAAACATAATACAACTAACTAAGTAAACTCTAACTCACTAACCAAGCCACCCACCCTCCCACCCTCTGCTGGCCTGACTCAGGTAGAAAAGAAGGAAGGACAGAAAAATATTAGTAATGGGAAAGTAGCTAAAAACATGAGTATATGATGTTTAAAGATACTTAGGTGAATATTATGAATATATAGAAGGAATGAAGGAATGATTTATTTCTAGCAAACTATAAACTACCAGAGTTGCCCCAAGAAGTGACAAGCCTGAAGAGAGCAGTAACCATAGAAGACAATGGGAACTCACCAGGTCCAGTTGCTTTTATGGTTGCTTAACGTTTAAAGAACAAAAAATTTCTGTGTTCTTTAGTACATTCCAGACCCAAGTTTTTCAGCATATCTATAGTGAAGGACAAGTTTTTTAAAAACTTAAAATTGGGACCAGCAGGCTGGTGGAGTGAAGGAGCTGGACTCTCACATGGCCAACCACAGTTTGAGTCCCAGACTTGGCGGTGGGCTTGCCGAGTGGTCATCCCCCTGGGGAGCAATTTCTCACTTTCTGTGTGTCAGTCTCTCTGTCTCTCTAGCAAGTGCACATACCCTATAGCAAAAATCTCTTTAAAAAAAAAAAAAGCTTAAAATTATTGTGGACTTATACTTTTGTAAAGTTTAATAAAAATATTAGAAAAATAATGAGGGCTGCCCTGTAGCTCAATGGTTAAAGGAGCTAAGACTACCATACATTCCAATAAAAACTTTATTTGGGACGCTCTAGATTGGAAAATACCAGCGAGTGTGTGTGTGTGTGTGTGTGTGTGTGTGTGTGAGTGTGCGTGCCCAAAATCCTGATGGAGAGGAAGAGTGGAGGAAAAAGGACTGCAATGTGACCACACTCCTTTAGAGGATGCTTCCTCTCTCTCACTTTCTTGTCAGCTCATGGACTGTCTAGAAATAAATAGGAGACATAAAGTACAAGGCTAATTTATAATACTATTATTTGTAATTTTGCTATAGGATGCATGCGATCACCGGACAGAGAGAGAGACAGAGATACAGAGAGATTCTGAGAAAACACCCCTCAGGGGGAATGGCCACACCATAATCCCTTCTCTATTCTCCTCTCAGGATATTGGGCATGCATGCACAAGTACATTTTTTAAAAATGATTGTTTTATTTAACTTTATTTTTAATTTGACCAGAGAGGTACAGAGTGAGAGTCAGAGAGAGGGAAAGTGAGAAAGCAAGCCGCCAGGTCCAGGACTTGAACTGCAATGGGCCATGTAGGAGTCCAACGCCCTTAAACACCACGCTACCTACTGGCCCCCACAAGTACATTTTTGAACCCACCAGGTCTGGAACTCGAACCACACAATTCACCTTGTGGGATCCAGCTGTCTTAACCACCATACTATTAGCTGGACCAGCAAGCCCAATTTTAAATTTTTTTTAAGATTAGGAATAAAATTATATTTTATTACATATAATCAAAACAAATATAGGGACAAGTGTTTACAAAAATTGAATACATTATTCATTGATGAGTCCGCTGATCTATGCCTGGGTATTATAATGATGCTAAATTTCTACAAAAGTTTCAAAAGCTTTCTGTATTTATCTCATCATGGATGGAAATAAACCATTTAGGGACTGACACTAGTCATTAGACCACAAGAAAAGATGAAAACATACCATATTTATTTTGCACTCTAGCATAACTTTTTTTGTTTTAAATTATTTATTTTTTCATTCATTTATTTTAATTCGACCACAGAGAGATGGGGGCAGGGGAGAAGAATGAGAAAGCAAGTCAACAGGTCCGGGACTCAAACCATGGTTGGCCATGTGGGAGTGACAGAGCCTTAACCACCATGTTACCTGCTGGCCCCACTAGCATGTGTCTCTCCCTGGTCAAATTAAAAATAATACTAACAGGGACCAGCAGTTAGTGTAATGGCTAGTTCGCTGGACTCCAACGTAGTCGACCGCAGTTCAAGTCCTGGACCTGGTGGCTTAAACTCACGCTGGGTGCGTGTGCGTGTCCATGATCCCAAGAGGAGAATGGAGGAGAAGGGATTGCGGCATGGCCATCCCCCCTGGGGGGTGATTTCTCACTTTCTGTCTCTCTGTCTCTCTCTGTCTGTCTGGCGAGCACATGCAAAAATCTCTCCAAAAAATAAAAAATTAAAAAAAATACTAACAGGAGCAACCAAATATGTGAAGGAAAGGCTGTTAGATCTAAAAAGAGAGATAGACTGCAACATAGAAATTGTTGGAGACCTCAAAAATAGTAACAACAAATATAATTAAAATAATTATTTAAAAATGATTATGGTAAAATATTAAAGAATGATAATATTTGTACAAAAGGTAACATAGAAATTCCAAATAAAATATTGAACTAAACCTAGCAGTGTGGCAAAGTATAACATACTATGTATGACACAGTAGGGTTTATTTCAGAAATACAAAAATGATTCAACCTTAGGGAATCTATCAATATCATTTATAATAAGCAATTAAAAGTAAAAATCACAATTATTATGTCAATAGAAACTGAAAAACATACAAAACTTCAACAGCCATTCCTAATAAATATTCAAAATAAAGATTTTTAAAAACTACTTAAATATGATAAAGATTGCAGGGGACCAGCAGGTAGTGTAGTGATTAAGGTGCTGGACAATCCCACATGGCAAACCATGGTTCACGTCCGGACCTGGCGGCGTGTCTTCTCTCTCTCTCTTTCTCTCTCTTCCTCTTCCTCTTCCTCTTTCTCTTCCTCTTCCTCTCTGTGTGTATCTCTCTCTTGTCAAATTAAAATAATTGAATAAATAATTCTTCTAAAAAATGATAAAGATTGTTTACCAAAACTCAACAGCAGACATTATACTAAAAGATAAAATAGAAAGTCATCTTTATTAAAACCAGGCATAGGAGAAGGATGCTATCACCACTATTATTCGACATTTTTTGGATGTTATACCTAATCCAATAAGAAAATGAAGTAATATGTGTTAGTTAGACAACTGTTAGTTGTCCCGCCAGGTCTGTTCTCTCCTTCTGCATTAGAAAGGTAGCTTAAAAAATAAAAACAAAACATAGCTTTAGAGCCAGTCTTGTGGTCTAGTGGTTAAGGGAGCCAGATCTTACATTGCTGACCATGTGGTTTGAATGTCAGACCTGGCAGCTTGCGAAACATACTGGGCACATGCCTGTGCATGCCTAAAATTCCAACAGAGTGGAGTAGAAGGGATTGTAGCGTGATCATGTTCCATTGCAAGTTGCTTTCTACCTGTCCTTCTCTCTCTGTCTCTGGTGCATGTACCTTCTGGCAATTTTTAAAATAGAATTATTTATTTTATTTTATTTATCATTATCATCATTATTATTATTTTAATTTGCTGCAGGACACATGCCCCCACCAGAGAGAGACAGAGAAACATCAGGTCTGGGACTCAAACCGCAGTTGGCTATTAGAGACAGAAAGCGAGAAAACAACCCCCGAGGGGATGATCACGCCGCAATCCCTTCTCCTCCATTCTCCTCTTGGGATCTTGGGCATGCACGCACATGCGCCCAGCGTGAGTTTTAAGCCACTGGGTCTGGGACACGAACTGCGGTCGACTACGTGGGAGTCCAGCGACATAGCCATTACACTAACTGCTGGTTCCCTGTTATTATTATTTTTTAAATGATAACCTCTGACCTAGTGAGTATCTTTTTAAAAGATTTATTTCCTTAATTCCATTTGTTATTATTTTTAAAAAATTTGACCAGAGAGACAGAGAGAGAAAGAGAAAGTGAGAAAGCAAGCCATCAGGTCCAGGGCTTGAACCATGGTCTGCCATGTGGGAATCCAGTGCCCTTAACCACCACGCCACCTGCTGGCCCCTACTAGTTTTTTAAGAATTATTTTTATTTAACTTTATTTATTTACTTGTTATTATTATTATTTTATTTTATTTGACCAGAGAGAGAGAGAGAGAAAGAGAGAGAGAAAGTAAGCTGCCAGGTCCGGGACTTGAACTGCAGTCAGCCATGTGGGAGTCCAGTGTCTATAACCACCACACCATCCACCAGCCTCTAATTTACTAATTTTTTAAATTAGATTTTTAACATAGAGCACATGTGCTTGCCAGAGAGACACAGAGAGACAGAGATACAGAAAGCAAAAAAATCACCCCTCAAGGGTGACACCATGCCACAGTCCCTTCTCTTCCATTCTCCTCTCAGGATTTTGGACACACATACACACTTGCCTGGTGTGAGGCTTAAGGTGGGTCTGGGACTCAAACCCCTGTCGACTTAGTGGGAGTCCAGCGACATAACCATTATTCCATCTGCTGGTCCCTTATTAATTTTTTCATTTGGCCAAAGACAGAGAGAGAAAGGGAAAGTGAGAAAGCAAACTGCTAGGTCTGGGACTGGAACCACCGTCAGCCATATGGGAGTCCAGTGCCTTAACTACCACGCCACCTACCAGCCCCGTGGTAAATTTTTTTAAAAAGAAAAAAAAATACAGCTTTAACTAAGCACATGGTTGAAGGACGACATTCTCCAGTTCTCCTGAACCTATGTGCAGCCATGTGACTGCTCCAGTGGAATATGCACAGAAGTGAATGATGAGTTTAATGTATCCCTCAACTTCCTAAAAGGAAATTGCTTGGCCCAGCTCTGGTAGTGTAAGCCAGATGTTGGATGTGAGGCCACATGGGAAGCCGGGGTCTGATTCCTAGTCCATGCTATATATAGAGCTACAAGTGGCGGGCATGCACCTGTAGTCCCAGCTCTCTCGGAACCTGAGGTAGGAGGATCATGAAATATGACACAGCTATCATATTATGAATTAGACATATGATTACCTGGAAATTCCATTAAGCAT